TCCCTTCCTGTTGTGATGGCTGGAGAAAAAGAGCCAGTTGACCTCTTGACCTCTGCTGGTCCTCCTGGCTGGACAGCTGGTAGAGGTCAGAGGTCACAGGAAATGATCAGTAGAAGTAACTCTTTGATAAAATTGTATTACTTTACCTGAATTCTGATTCTGATCACTTCCTTCAATAACTCCAACATTCATGAGTCCACCTCCTTATGCTGACCTCTGACCTTATAAACACCAACCGTAAAAATGAATCAACTTTATCAGAATGGAACATTTCAGCAACAAGATAGTTCAAAGTGTTTTACAGGATAAAAAGATCAATTATGAAACAGATAAAACTCTGCCTAAAGTCCAGCCCAGCAGATATAAGCCCCGCCCTAAACACCAAGCCCCACCTTAAACATGAAGCCCCGCCATAAACATTAAGCCCCTCCCACACTAAGCCCCGCCCTAAACATGAAGCCCCGCCATAAACATTAAGCCCCTCCCACACTAAGCCCCGCCCTAAACATGAAGCCCCGCCATAAACATTAAGCCCCTCCCACACTAAGCCCCGCCATAAACATTAAGCCCCTCCCACACTAAGCCCCGCCCTAAACATGAAGCCCCGCCATAAACATTAAGCCCCTCCCACACTAAGCCCCGCCATAAACATTAAGCCCCTCCCACACTAAGCCCCGCCCTAAACATTAAGCCCCACCTTAAACATGAAGCCCCGCCATAAACATTAAGCCCCTCCCACACTAAGCCCCGCCCTAAACATGAAGCCCCGCCATAAACATGAAGCCCCGCCCTAAACACCAAGCCCCACCTTAAACATGAAGCCCCGCCATAAACATTAAGCCCCTCCCACACTAAGCCCCGCCCTAAACATGAAGCCCCGCCATAAACATTAAGCCCTCCCACACTAAGCCCCGCCCTACATGAAGCCCCCCTTAAACATGAAGCCCCGCCCTAAACATTAAGCCCCTCCCACACTACCCCCCCCCTAAACATGAAGCCCTGCCATAAACATTAAGCCCTCCCACACTAAGCCCCGCCCTAAACATGAAGCCCCACCTTAAACATGAAGCCCCGCCATAAACATTAAGCCCCTCCCACACTAAGCCCCGCCCTAAACACCAAGCCCCACCTTAAACATGAAGCCCCGCCATAAACATTAAGCCCCTCCCACACTAAGCCCCTCCCACACTAAGCCCCGCCCTAAACATGAAGCCCCGCCATAAACATTAAGCCCCTCCCACACTAAGCCCCGCCCTAAACATTAAGCCCCTCCCACACTAAGCCCCGCCCTAAACATGAAGCCCCGCCATAAACATTAAGCCCCTCCCACACTAAGCCCCGCCATAAACATTAAGCCCCTCCCACACTAAGCCCCGCCCTAAACATTAAGCCCCACCTTAAACATGAAGCCCCGCCCTAAACATTAAGCCCCTCCCACACTAAGCCCCGCCCTAAACATTAAGCCCCTCATAAACATGAAGCCCCGCCCTAAACACCAAGCCCACCTTAAACATGAAGCCCCGCCATAAACATTAAGCCCCTCCACAAGCTAAGCCAAGCCCCCCATAAGCCCCGCCCACCCACATCCCCCGCCCCCCTCCCACACTAAGCCCCGCCCTAAACATGAAGCCCCGCCATAAACATTAAGCCCCTCCCACACTAAGCCCCGCCCTAAACATGAAGCCCCACCTTAAACATGAAGCCCCGCCATAAACATTAAGCCCCTCCCACACTAAGCCCCGCCCTAAACATGAAGCCCCGCCATAAACATTAAGCCCTCCCACACTAAGCCCCGCCCTAAACATGAAGCCCCACCTTAAACATGAAGCCCCGCCCTAAACATTAAGCCCCTCCCACACTAAGCCCCGCCCTAAACACCAAGCCCCGCCCTAAACATGAAGCCCCGCCATAAACATTAAGCCCCTCCCACACTAAGCCCCTCCCACACTAAGCCCCGCCCTAAACATGAAGCCCCGCCATAAACATTAAGCCCCTCCCACACGAAGCCCCGCCCTGAACACGAAGCCCCGCCTTAAACACGAAGCCCCGCCCTAAAATTTAAGCCCCGCCCTGAACACGTAAAAACCACTTGAAAATGTAAACTCCAGATATCCAGCCGGTCAGACAGTGAGCTTTGACTGTTCCCCACAAGGTTCATGTCTGAGTTTCTGGAGATCAGAGCCAATAGTTGACCCACATTGGACCTGAATATACAACGACTCAACACTAATGTACAACTCCTGCATGAATTTGGTTTACAGAAGCTAAATAAGTGATTTACCAAGAGATCCAGGCTCATAGACATAACATGGGTTAGCTTGTTGTTAGCGGTAGCATCGTTATCATAGACTAATTACTTAAAATAGCACAGTCCACTCAGGCAGAAATGAGTCGACAGCCTTTAATGCTTCTTTTGATCCTAAATTGGACCCAGAATCAAACTGAATGACTGTTTCCTCCAGGCTGTTGTGCTGCCTGCAGCCCACTTCCTGTCTGTCGATGACGTGTTTCCGTCCTCCTGTCCCCAGTGGCGGCCCGCGGCGTGCTGCTGCTGGCCGCGCTGCACTGCTGCTCGGTGGCGCTGTGCGGCTGTGAGCCGCGCCTGGTCAACGTGGGCGCCGTGCTGAGCCAGAAGCGCTACGAGCAGGTGTTCAAGGACGCCGTGACGCAGGCCAACGAGCTGTACGGCCGGGACAAGTTCAAGATGAACGCCATCTCCGTCACGCACAAGCCCAACGCCATCCAGATGGCGCTGTCCGTCTGCGAGGACCTCATCTCCAACCAGGTGAAGCGCCGTGGACCGGTCACCATGGCAACGGTCACCATAGCAACGGCTCCCCGGCCGCGTTTCAGCTGGGAAACAATATGGCTGCCATTCTTCACAATCGTTGCTGCTAAAATGATGTTGTTAGCATGTGGGCTATCGCTAGCATGCTAACAGCTAGATGCTAGGATGCTAACAGCTAGATGCTAGCATGCTAACAGCTAGATGCTAGCATGCTAACAGCTAGATGCTAGCATGCTAACACCTAGATGCTAGCATGCTAACAGCTAGATGCTAGCATCCTAACAGCTAGCTCGGAGGAGTTCGGCTCCCTGGCAGGTTCAGACCTTTGACCTCCAGCAGGTTTGTGTTAATCAGGCTCCCAAAGTGAAATGAGGTCTGAATGATCTGCTGCTGAAACACAGAGACATTTTGACTTTCAACGGACAAATATCATCATCAGGAGCTTTATGCCTTATTAAAATGAGAACGCAGCGGTTCCTGGTTGTTGTTATTTGGCTCCTTCCTTTAGATCCGGTTTCCTTTCTCTGCATCTGATCCGGATTTGAAAGGATAAAACGTTAACAGTGGATGTTGGGTATTCATTTCTTCTCTAACGGCAGGCTGTGTGACAGCCAGTCTGGTTTGTTCAGGGACTCAGATGTTTGCTGAAACATTAATGCTTCATGAATATGATTAGAATAACATGAGGAACAGAAGCAGAAGTGACAGAATGAGTTCACACGAAGCGTCTTCTTCATATTTCACCTGTTCTGAAACCTCAGAGTGGCCGTCAGTCTGAGAGGAAGCGGCCCGCTGGGAGCAACGCAGCGCCGCACGCATCAGGAGACGGAGAGAGAGCGGCTCCAGGCGGGAAATCAGAGCTGCTCTAAATATAACCGCACAAACAGACGCTTTACAAAAGACACAAATAAAGGTTCTGAAAGAGCCTGCAGAGAACTGAGCTGCTGCTGGAAACCTGAACAGAACCGGGTCAGGCGGGCCGACCAGGCGGCTCTTCATCACAGGAAGAACATGGAGGAAGAACATGGAGGAAACGAGGCCAATATGGCGGCGTGTTGGCCAGAGAGACGGCTGTCAGATTAACTTGGTCTCATGTAATCTGCCGTCCTCCCAGAGCAGCCATGGAGGGATTATCCAGACGCTTTTAATCCAACAGTCTCTCACTCCCAGAATGCCACAGGTCTGACTTTCCTCATCCTGAGCCAGAAATCCTCCTGAAATCAGCCTCAGCTGGGCTGGAAGTCTCAGGGAACAGACAATCCAGGATTTTGCCACCAGAGGGCAGCCAGAGGGCGCCCCCTGCTGTGAAAAGTCAAGCGTCTTGCCCAAGGACACAACGATAGAGGCGGATGGAGCAACCCACCAGTTGCAGGAGGGGCCCTGACCACCACCGTGGTGACGACGGCCACCATGCTGGTGGTATTTTCTTTCTGGCTTGGAAAGAGTTTTAAAAAGTTTAGATCCTGTAGCACACAGTGTCTAGTCCTGCGGGCCGCCGGCCGTCCTGCAGGCCGTCCTGCGGGCTTCAATGAACCACAGGAACAAAACGCTGGAAGACATTCCTGTTAAAGTCAGAGGTCACAGAATATTTTCCATATTTGTTTTGTAAACGACAGAAAAGTTTGAAGGCCGTCGGTCATTTGACAGGTCATAGTTAACAGGTCATGGTTAACAGGTCATACAGTTAGGGCCAGAAATATTTGGACAGTAACACAATATTTGTGAGTTGGGCTCTGCATGCCACCGCATTGGATTTGAAATGAAACCTCTACAACAGAATTCAAGTGCAGATTGTAACGTTTAATTTAAAGGGTTGAACAAAAATATCTGATAGAAAATGTAGGAATTGTACACATTTGTTTACAAACACTCCACATTTTAGGAGCTCAAAAGTAATTGAACATATAAACATAACCCAAACAAAAAAGTTTTTTCTCAATATTTTGTTGCGAATCCTTTGGAGGCAATCACTGCCTTAAGTCTGGAACCCATGGACATCACCAAACGCTGGGTTTCCTCCTTCTTAATGCTTTGCCAGGCCTTTACAGCCGCAGCCTTCAGGTCTTGCTTGTTAGTGGGTCTTTCCGTCTGAAGTCTGGATTTGAGCAAGTGAAATGCATGCTCAATTGGGTTAAGATCTGGTGATTGACTTGGCCATTGCAGAATATTCCACCTTTTTGCTCTCATGAACTCCTGGGTAGCTTTGGCTGTATGCTTGGGTCATTGTCCATCTGTACTGTGAAGCGCCGTCCGATCAACTTTGCAGCATTTGGCTGAATCTGGGCTGACAGTATATCCCGGTACACTTCAGAATTCATCCGGCTACTCTTGTCTGCTGATATGTCATCAATAAACACAAGTGACCCAGTGCCATTGAAAGCCATGCATGCCCATGCCATCACGTTGCCTCCACCATGTTTTACAGAGGATGTGGTGTGCCTTGGATCATGTGCCGTTCCCTTTCTTCTCCAAACTTTTTTCTTCCCATCATTCTGGTACAGGTTGATTTGTCTCATCTGTCCATAGAATACTTTTCCAGAACTGGGCTGGCTTCTTGAGGTGTTTTTGGGCAAATTTAACTCTGGCCTGTCTATTTTTGGAATTGATGAATGGTTTGCATCTACATGTGAACCCTTTGTATTTGCTTTCATGGAGTCTTCTCTTTACTGTTGACTTAGAGACAGATACACCTACTTCTCTGAGAGTGTTCTGGACCTCAGTTGATGTTGTGAACTGGTTCTTCTTCACCAAAGAAAGTATGCGGCGATCATCCACCACCGTTGTCTTCCGTGGACGCCCCAGGCCTTTTTGAGTTCCCAAGCTCACAGTCAATTCCTTTTTCCTCAGAATGTACCCGACTGTTGATTTTGCTACTCCAAGCATGTCTGCTATCTCTCTGATGGATTTTTTCCTTTTTTTCAGCCTCAGGATGTTCTGCTTCACCTCAATTGAGAGCTCCTTTGACCGCATGTTGTCTGGTCACAGCAACAGCTTCCAAATGCAAAACCACACACCTGGAAACAACCCCAGACCTTTTAACTACTTACTTGATTACAGGTTAACGAGGGAAAGGCCTTTTGAGTTACTTGCAGCCTTTGGAGTTCATTGTCCAATTACTTTTGGTCCCTTGAAAAAGAGGAGGCTGCATTACAGAGCTATGATTCCTAAACCCTTTCTCCGATTTGGATGTGGAAACTCTCATATTGCAGCTGGGAGTGTGCACTTTCAGCCCATATTATATATAAATTGTATTTCTGAACATATTTTTGTCAACAGCTAAAATAACAAAACCTGTGTCACTGTCCAAATATTTCTGGCCCTAACTGTAGTTAACAGGTCATAGTTAAAGGCTTTACAAAGAGCTGAACTCAACCCATAAAAAATCCTCACTGAATATCATTGAGTGGAGCTGATGGCCTGTTGAAGAGTTACGGACCGGAGCGTCTGGTTAGGAGGCCGGTCCGAACCTTTGGTGGTGATGTGGCGCCGACCCAAACGCAGCAGCCAGGAGACGTAGAAAGATGTGGATGTTCAGTAAAGAAAACCAGCCAACAAAAACTTCCAGGAGTACGAGAAAATCCAAACACAAAGCAAACAGGAAACCATGGAAAGAAACACAATCAGGTGAATGAATGAATGAATGACCTTATCATCATTATGTCATGTTAATGACAAACAGCTGAAAAAATAACCACAGAAGCAATTTTGCTCCAGCTTTTCTCCTTGTCATTTCTATATTCTTTGCACAAAATGTTGGATAAACTTTCATGTTTCCATGTTTCACTCCTGAAACGTGGAAACATTTCATCTCCCGCTGGACTCCGGGTTCCTCTCCCTGCTTTTGGACCCAAATTCTAAATCAAAACCAGTTTATTAATCCCAAAGGGAAATTAAATGCTGGTGTAACTCATTCATTATTCAAAGAGTCGATGGCTGTTGGATGATCTTCTGCAGCGTCTGTTAAGAAAAGTGAAGTTTCACAAATCAGAAAAAGGTTTCATGAATCATAAAAGTGGTTCTAAATATTCTGCTATTAGAGCAGAATAATAATCCAGTGCAGGTTTGAAGAGTCCAGGTGTTGTAGTTGTGGAGCTGGAGCAGTTCAACAGGTAAAATCAACCTGGTTGGTCATCAGGAAATCTTCTTCTTCTGCAGGTGTACGCTATCCTGGTCAGCCATCCTCCACAGTCCAACGACCACCTGACTCCAACGCCCGTCTCCTACACGGCCGGGTTCTACCGGATCCCGGTGGTCGGCCTGACGACTCGCATGTCCATCTACTCTGACAAGGTCAGCCGCGTCCGCCTGCTGCGGCGGCGGCTCGCGTTTCACCAGCTGATGAGTCCCGGTGTTCTAGATACTGGAACAGATCAGAAAACCTGAGATTGGTTTAACTAAGAGCTAACCTGGCGAGGCTAAAAGTATGATAAGTTAGCTAAGGTGAGATATTAATTGATGCTGCTGATGAGCTAAACTGAAAACAAGCTAAGCTAGCTGGTTGGTTAAGCTAAGATGGATTTGGATTGATCATGTTTTGTTAAATTAAGATAACCTGAGGTAGATATTAAATCACAGTGAGTTAGTTTAAAGCAGCACAAGAAATGAAGCCTCAACCCGACCTGATGAGCAGCAAAGGTCACGACAAGGTCACGACTCTACGCAGCGTTTAGGGCACAAAGACGTGAAGACCTGAAAGATCCATCATCCTGCATTGGCTACCTGTACATGTGTTAGCATGTGTTAGCGTGTGTTAGCATGTGTTAGCGTGTGTTAGCATGTGTTAGAATAATTTTATATTCAAGATCATATGATCTAGTTTTCTCATTTCCCAGTCTTTTCCCTGAACTGGGAGCAAAGTGGACTCTGAGTCTTTCTCAGGTTTAAGAAACTGTTGACGGTGAGATCAGGCCAGAGCATCCCAGTAGTGCCATCACTCCCAGTACTCCCAGTCCTCTCCCACCTGGCTCAGGATTCAGAGAAGTGAGTTCTTAGCGTTCGGCTGTGGTTCTTCCTCATGCTCGTCTTCCTCCTCGCTGCAGAGCATCCACCTGTCCTTCCTGCGGACGGTGCCGCCGTACTCCCACCAGGCCCAGGTGTGGTTCGACCTGATGAGGGAGTTCAGGTGGAACCACATCATCCTGATCGTCAGCGACGACCACGAGGGCCGAGCCGCCCAGAAGAAGCTGGAGACGCTGCTGGAGGAGCGGGAGACCAAGGTGAGCAAGGTGCTGGGCGTCGCCCCGGCAACCGGTCGCCATCGTCACGGATTCACCTGCAGGCTCCAGGTGCCACACCTGTTGACAGAGGTCATGTGCAGATCCACCTGGATGCGCATGTGGAGGTACATGTGAAACCATGTTTCACAAATCAGTTCTGATCAGCAAATTTTGGCTGTTTGGACCAAAGAAAGTCAGAAAAGAATCATTTCTACCAAGTAAACGACGGCATAAACATTCACTGAGCTAACTCCTACATGTGCAGCTCACCAAAGATCGGCAGTATCAGTCGGTGTTTGAAACATTGAAAACGTCAGACCCGACTTGGCAACTTTCCTCCGCCACTCATGAAGAAGTCAGACAGGGATGATGATCTGTTTCCTGCTCTTCTCATTCTGCACACAGACGCCGAGAAAGCAGATTTTTATCAATATTTGCTGTGAATTCAGCTGTTTTTTAACAGTCACGATGCACTTGGGGTCACATCGGGGTCAGCTAGGGGTCACATCAGCTGACCCCAAACTGATGTGACCCCTAACAACTCCAACCAATCAGCAGCCTGATTGGTTGGAAGGCTGAACTCCAGGCTGTTGGTCTTGTGAGTCTTATCGCCACCTGGTGGCAACTGTAGACATTACAGCCAGCTGGTGGTTCTACCAGTGAAGTGCATCTGCTGTTGTAGCTTTGTGTTTCACATGTACCTTGGAGTTCACATGTGAATGAACACATTAAGACGTGTAAATCTGCACATGTTTCTGTCATCGTGAAGGTATGCGTTGGGAGCCAAGATAGCGGTGATGGGCCCCGTTCGCTAATTACTAGCTCAGTATTTTAGCACCTTTGCTAACTGTCTAAACACTCAGCTTCCCCTAAATTATTTTTTCTAGAAAAATAGTAAAGCTGTTTTGTAACGTTCAAAACAGCTTAATAAAGCTTAATAAAGTTTGACATGTGAGTTTTGGTTATCAGCTATTCTCCAAGTAGCAAGACGTTTATATTCATACTCTTACTTTGAAGGGCCTGTTTAATCAAAAGTTTTGTTTCCTGTCTCCACCTTTCTGGGGTTTTTATCCAAGTAAACAACAAATGAACAAAGGAAGCACAGACAACGCTAACAGGAACAAACCACCAGACGTGTTAGCTAAACAAATACATGCAAAAACTCTCAGTTATGATTTGTTCTCCACATGCTAATAACTGCAGCTCCACCAGGGCTAGTCAGAGTTAGCAAAACTCAACAGCTTTTAAACTGAAACAACAGAGGAGGCCTTGATGAGGCGCTATGCTAGGCTGCAGCACATGATGTATCTTAGACACATGGGGATATCAACATAGATGGATTCAGCACTTTAGCATTAGCTTCTGCTAATTATCATGTTATCATATCACTTTAGCATTAGCTTCTGCTAATTATCATGTTATCATATCACTTTAGCATTAGCTTCTGCTAATTATCATGTTATCATATCACTTTAGCATTAGCTTCTGCTAATTATCATGTTATCATATCACTTTAGCATTAGCTTCTGCTAATTATCATGTAAAGTTGATGGTAATGATAACTATCATTGTGGCGCTTTAGCATAGCTCATGTTTCTGATTGGTGCTTTAGGGTTAGCACCGTTAGCTTTAGCTGACTGTGCCCACCACTGCCAGACAGAAATCAACATGTTGGTTCACAGCATGGAAACGTGGTGTGTGAAGTTTCACTGCATGGCTGAGAGAGGCTTTCATCAAACCCAGCGGTTTTCTTCCATTCCTCAACCCGTCTACCGTCCATGGATCTATACCTCATCTTCCCTCGCTCTTCACCGCTCCTTCATCCCTCCGTCATCTTCCTAACTTCCTGCTGGATGCGTCATCTCAGCGTCTCCATCATCAGCTTCCTGTTCATTCAGGATGATTCTGTTGATCTCCACCAAGGTCGTTTACCTGCTGGTTTGTTTCCATGGATCAGGGGGACGGACGAGTCGGACAGCGCCGCGGTCCGGTTGCTTTCATAAGGCTCGGATGTTACTGACAGAGAGAACTGCTGCAGGAAGTGACACTGGCCTTCTTCCTGGTTTTTGAAGTTCGGATCTGTTCTGAGATCCAGACCCAGAGGAACGCGTCATGATGCTTGTTCAGATTAAGTATCAGTGTTTTTCTCTGTCAGTATTTATTATTTCTCTTATAAAACAATATTTGTTTGTAAATGTTTATGTTCAAAACATGTTCTATGGTTTTGACAATTTGGACCCAACCCTACTGGTTTCACTGGTCCTCATTCTAGTTCTGTTGGTTCTGACTCTGGACTTCAGACTTTTCTGTTGTTGATGGTACAGAATGGATTTGGTTCTGGACTCTGAGAGTGGACAGAAACTTCCTGAAGTTATGGTGACGGTGTTGGGTCTGGACGGGAAGCTGCTTTCTCTGGAGCTGAATATCTTCTCATGAAGATTGTTCTTCTGGACTTGCTGGTCTTGGTTCTGGTCTGTGGGTTCTGATAGAGACGTTCTAGAGTTGACTGGAGCGTTTGCTCTGATCTGATGAATTGAACTTTGGCCTTTAAAGTCCAGAGTCTGTCGTCTTTGGTTCTGAATCCTAACATCGGTAGGTCCGATTGGGAAGCAAATAGCCTTCTCTACTGGACTTTTCTGCAGCTCTTGAATTGGTGTCTGGCAGTCTTGACAGAAACTGCTGCTGATTTTGTGACCTTGTGGAAAATGCTGTCCTGATAAACGTTATTCTGGTTCTGCTGGTCTTGACCAGAACCCACTGGTTTTAGTGGCTGGCTGGCAGGACTTATCTCTGGACCTCTCCAGCTCGGTACTGATGTCTGTCATGATGGTCTGGTGACCCTGGAAGCCACTGGTTTGACCCCTAAAAACCTTTTTCTGGAACCTCTGCTCTATACGAAGCTGAGACATCAGACGGGATGGGATGTCTTTACTTCTAGCGGTTTGGGCTCTCAGGTTGGTGTCCAGGTTCCTCCAGGACTTTTAGAGTTTCTTTAATGAATTTGCATCTTATTGGTTTAACAGATGTAGATTCCTGTCAGGTTCTGGTCTTGGTCCAGGTCGCTCTCCTCATGGGTTTATATGGGACATGCTGGTCTTGTCTCTGGACTTACTGGTACTGTCTTCTTTTAGACTTCAGGTTTGTCTGTTCTGGAAGGCGCTGATCCAAATCGTTTGGCTAAAGACTGGACTTGGTGGTTTGTCCTGGACCAGTGGTAGAGCTACTAGTCTTGGTGGAGGTTTGACTTTGTTTCATCTTCTTTGAGTTGAGCTGATTCTTCTTCTTCTCTCTGTGGACTCATGGCATGGTTTCAGTCCTTCAGCTCCATCTGCTGTCTGGTTTCTCATCACCTCGACTCTGACGGAGGTCAGAGCCGCGCAAACACACCTCGGCTGCTTCCGGCTGTCCGTCACGTCTGCTTTGTGTCGCCGCTGACGACAGGAAGTACAACAGGAAGAGGTCAGCGACTCGCTGAGCTCAGACTAGCTGATCTAACCTCCAGCTACAGACTGAGAGGTTAAAGGTCTGGAGGTCAGAATGAATGAAGTCGGTGAGCAGAGCTGCAGCCGAGCAACATGGACACATCCGCCCAGGGGAAAAGGCACGGATGACCTTTGACCCAGATCACAGTGGCCGAGCGGTCCAGTCCGTCTGATGGTACCGGCTCGGTTCTGGACGCTCTCTGTTAGGATGGGCTTTTACTTTGAAACCCTTCAGAATAAAAGCCCCTAATAATCACACTTCATGTTCATGAAGGAGACTGTGTGTGAATCTGCACCAGTCAGGCAGAACATTATGACCACTGGCCGGAGGATAGAAGCCACAGAAACGGAAACCGTTACGATGATTCGCAAAACCCGTCGTATCACGGCTCTGTCATAACAAGATAAATAAATCATGAAAACAAAAAAGTTTCTCATTTTAACAACCAGTTATTAGCATCCTACCCTTACCTTAGCGTCCCACCTTTAGCTCCCAGCCATTACCATCCGAGCCGTTAGCTTCCAGCCATTACCTCCCTGCTGTTAGCTCCCAGCCATTAGCATTTGAGCCATTAGCTCCCAGCCCTTAGCTCCCTGATGTTAGCTCCCAGCCGTTAGCATCTGAGCTTTTAGCTCCCAGCCATTAGCATTCCGGTTCAGAGGCGCAGGAAGCGCTGAAGGAATGTCTGGGCGCGTGTTTAATGAGTTGAACGTTTGGTCTGAGCACTGCTGCCCTGCCGCAGCACATTAGCATCACAGGGCTGGAAGTCGCAGCATGTGAACAGGACAGACCTGAGTTTTTCTGATGAGGTCTGTTTGGACCGACTCAGTCCGACAGGTGAGCCCATTTAAAAATATTCCTGCTGTCTGCAACCTGCAGCCAGATTTACACCTGAGAGCGAACAGGTGAACCGCGGGTCATCCTGCAGGTCCAACTGCTGTAAACTCAGCTCCGCGTGGATTGGACGGCCGGATGCCCCCAGGATGTTGAAAATGATGTCTTCATGCAGAACAAACACAGCAACAGTGACCTCATGTTGTGTTACAGAGGGGCGTAAATTATGAATACTGTGGTGGAGGCCTGGCTCAGATTTCCTAACGGATGTTCTATGAAGTATTTATGAGCCGTCAGTACCTTACTAGCAGCTATGCAGGTTTTATGGAGCGGTCAGTCGGCTTCAGCACTTGGGCTCCGATTAGACCTCCAGTGAAAACACTGCTGACCCTCCAGGACAGACTCTTGCTAGGCCGCTAACAGCAGAGCTAATTTTTCACTTGTTGCTTTAGCATTTTTGCTAGCTTTGAAAATGTTTAGCACACTTAGCTTAACTGAAATGAATTTTTCTAGATCTGAATTTTGAAAGAAGAAAGTAAAATTCTTCTAGTACTTAGATGTTAATATTCATGCTCCTATTTTGAAGTCAATCTACGTGACAAGTCCATTTCTGCTCTTTTCTGTTTTTTAAGTGAACTTTACAAATTACAAGTATACAAAAAAAAAACAAATAGAAAAACCAAGCAAATGCAGAAGAATACAAACACGTAGCTAATAAACCAAATACAGGCAAAAATTCCCCCATATAAAAAGTATTGAGACCCGGATCCTCCTCAACATAGAGGTTAGCTCTTTACACTGTTAGCATTAGCTTCCACCATTACTATGTAGAACTAGCTCTTCAGAGTCAACAGAGATAATGTTTATGATTAGCATTAGCTAAGCTAAAGTTTATGATCAGTGTGTTAGCATTAGCTAAGCTAAAGTTTATGATAGAGGCTCTTGCATTAGTGCAGCTAGCTGTTCTGTTAGCGGTGCCCACCACTGCCTGCAGCAAATGATGTGCTGCAGGTGAGGAACTGAACTATCTGAGCTAATCCTTTAATTAGGCCAGAACTACCAGCATGAACCTCGTTGAAGCAGAACAGCAGAGAAAATGTGATAATAAAAATGAACCTGATCAACAATGAACATTTATTTCCGATTGTAAATCAATATGCTGATCATATTGCCATGGAAACATCAGGGTTTGGAGCAGCAGTTGTTGACTAATGTATTTCAGGTTATGATTTTGTTTTTTTCATGTTACACCAGACACTAACGACATGACCCAAAAGGTTAAAGGTCACAGCTGAGAAAGAAAGAAAGAAAGAAACAGGCAGATATTACAGCTGATATTGCGCTGATTGCCGCTGTCGTGTGGCGAGCCTTCGGCGGGCAGCGGCGGCTCTGCGGTGTGTTTGCCTCTGACTCCGTCGTGAAGCAGAAGAAGAATCATTGTTGATGCTTTGCTGTCTATAACCTCTGTCTGCATATTTTCTCTGCACATCACTGTCAGACTAAAAACAGGAACTATGAAAACCTCGACCAACAGAACTTTGACTTCAGGAGAACACCCAAGGTAGAAACTTGCATGGTGAAATGATGCACGCCGCCCAACCAATCTCTGAGCTCGCCCAGTAGCCGGCACCAGTTAGCCCCGCCCACCCGCCCAGACCCAACCCGGCTCCAGAGACAGACTCCTGTCCCGGTGGCACGTCTTCTCTCCACATCTCTTTTCGTTTGGTTTTTCATGACTCCTGCACACAGAGAATGGGTTCGCACCGCCAGGAGAGACGCCCTTCCTCCCTCCTCTTCCTCCCCGGTTTTCCTCATGTGAAGGGTTGCATGCAGCCAGGCTGATGCTTGGCTGACGACCTCTGCCCTCCAGGATCCCTTCACTCCTCCTTTTCTGTTGAGAAATGAACCACTCTCTTCTCCTTCCTGCTCCTCTTTCTCTCCACTTTTTTCGGAACCTTTTTTTAAGTTGCAGTTGCATCAGCGCGCTCTAACATGCACGTCCCTGATTGGTTGGTTGGAGTCAGTTTGCATGTGCCACCACGCCCTCCCTTATTTTGATTCAGGCTTCAGTTTTTTTCAGTTCAGCAGATCTTTGGCTCGTTCTGCCTCCATCTGTTTGCTCCGTCCTCCTCCGTGGCAGCATGGTCGCTGCTGGGGGTCGGGTTGGTCATGAGGGAGGCGGATCCGGGAGCTAACGATTCCTGTCCTATGATGTGTTGTGTGGTGTTGTTCTGCCGTGTCTCTCCCTGTCCCTCGCTGGGCCCGGTCCGTCGGCGTCGCGGTCCTCCAGGCGGAGAAAGTCCTGCTGTTCAGCCAGGACACCAACCTGACGACACTGCTGCTGGAGGCCAAAGACCTGGAGGCCCGAGTCATCATCCTGTCGGCCAGGTGAGCGCCACCCTGAGGCCGGGGCCGGTAGGAACTGCTGCGCCTCCGGAATCATAAATCAATCAGCATCTTAGCTGATTAAACTCATTTTAAGAGTTTATTGAAAATCAAACTGACACTTTGCTAAAAATGGGAACACTGACGTTGACTAATGAGTAATAAAATCATAATTCAAATTGAATCTCTAACCAAAAGAGTTGGTTAACAAAAGTAGAGAAACAGAGCAAACCGAATACTAACTGGTGGATAGAAATTTTCAGAAAAAATTTAAAATGTGTTTGTGGTTTCAGGTCCTAATGAGTCAGAGCTCAGGTTTGAGGACTAATAATAGAAGATGTGTTCTTTTGCCACAAAATAAAAATGCCCCAAAAAACAGAGCTCATGTTTAGAAAGATGCTAATGTTAAGATGCTAACGTTAGCTAATAGAGCAAGTGATGGAGAGCTTCTTCCAACAGCTACACGGTTTCCACCACGTCAGGAACACTGTCTACAAAATCACAAAACAGCTGTGATTTTGTAGACAAAGACAACTTCCTGGGTGTCCTTGTTTACTTCCTGTCTGTTCATTTACTTCTTGTCTTTTTGTTTGCGTCCTCTCTGCCTTTGTTAACTTCCTGTCTGTGTTTTAGTACTTCCTGCATGTGTTTCAGTACTTCTTGCCTGTGTTTTAGTACTTCCTGTTTGTGTTTTAGTACTTCCTGTCTGTGTTTTAGTACTTCTTGCCTGTGTTTTAGTACTTCCTGTCTGTGTTTTAGTACTTCCTGCCTGTGTTTTAGTACTTTCTGTTTGTGTTTTAGTACTTCCTGTCTGTGTTTTAGTACTTCCTGCATGTGTTTTAGTACTTCCTGTCTGTGTTTTAGTACTTCCTGCATGTGTTTTAGTACTTCCTGCATGTGTTTTAGTACTTCCTGTGTGTGTTTTAGTACTTCCTGCATGTGTTTTAGTACTTCCTGTCTGTGTTTTAGTACTTCCTGCATGTGTTTTAGTACTTCCTGCATGTGTTTTAGTACTTCCTGTCTGTGTTTTAGTACTTCCTGCATGTGTTTTAGTACTTCCTGTCTGTGTTTTAGTACTTCCTGCATGTGTTTTAGTACTTCTTGCCTGTGTTTTAGTACTTCCTGTCTGTGTGTTTTAGTACTTCCTGCCCGTGTTTTAGTACTTCCTGTTTGTGTTTTAGTACTTCCTGCCTGTGTTTTAGTACTTCCTGTCTGTGTGTTTTAGTACTTCCTGCCTGTGTTTTAGTACTTCCTGTCTGTGTGTTTTAGTACTTCCTGCCTGTGTTTTAGTACTTCCTGTCTGTGTGTTTTAGTACTTCCTGCCTGTGTTTTAGTACTTCCTGTCTGTCTCTGTGTGCTTGCAGTGAGGATGAAGCCATGGCTGTGTACAAAGCGGCCCGTCAGCTCAACATGACCGGTTCTGGCTACGTCTGGCTGGTTGGAGAGCGGGAGATGAGCGGGAAAGCTCTGAGCGAAGCTCCTGATGGTATTGCCTTCCTCGTCTTCCTCTTCATCTCTCTCTCTCTGTCTTCAGCTCTGCTTCCATCCAACACTCAGACTGAAGCTTTGACCACAGCTGGTCCGGGCTGGTCGGAACAGCTCAGGTTAGACCTGGTTTGGTCCATCCCACTCCTTAAGGGCCGGGGTCCTGCAGGTCCTAAACATGTTCCGGGTCAGACTGGCCTCAGTGACATGGCTGAATTACCGCCTCAAGATGCAGTCAGGTTCCCCAGAGTCCTGCTAACAGGCTGAGCGTTTGACTCAGATGTGTTGAAGGAGAGACACGGCTAAGCGTTGCAGGACACCGACCCTGGAGGACTGGGACTGTCCTCTCTGGGTCAGATGGTTCACCTGGACGAGAACTGAACCAGCTTGTGCAGAAGCTTGGTGCTCCATCATCTCCTGTTGAAGGAGATAATGGAGTCTGGACAGGTGTGGACGTCTGAGGAGCTTCCCTTACAGGGCCAGTGGCTTTCTAAACTCCAGTCAGGACTGGACTGGATGTCGGAGCTTTGTTTCAACTCCAAATGTTTTCTCCTGACATCAGGAGGTTGTTGGTTCACCTCTGGGTGTTTCCTGCTGAGCTGCTCCAGGGTTGGATGGAAACACAGCTGCTCTCTCTCTGCTGAGGATCTCTGATGAAGGGAGCCGGTCTTCCTCCTCCTCCTCTCTGTCACTGAGCTTCTTGGTGTCTCTGGTTCTTCTGACTGCTGGTTGAACGTTTAAATGTCCGGCGGCAGTGGAGACGTGTTTAAAGGTTCCAACCACTGGTTCTCTGTTGTTTCTGTGGCTTTCAATGTGTCTAACATCTTTCTGTTTCATTTCTATAGTGTGTGTCGTCCGCCCGCCCGTCTGCCCGTTCTCACAGTACACGAGCCAATCACAGGGGCCAATTCGTGGGAGGGGAGGGGGGGTTGATGTTCAGGTGTGTGTGTGGGGGGGTTGTTGCTGAGGTTACCGTCACGGGTGTCCAGTCAAACATGGGTAAGATGCCTCTGCTGCTTCCTGTTTTCTGCCTGATGCTTGGAGTCAATAAAGGCCCCGCCCACCTCTGCAACATGGAGGCTGGGGGTGGGGCTTATTGAGTCAGCTGATTACTCAGAGAGCCAAAAGAACAAAGTTCCCTTCAGACAGGATGGAAGCGCCTCCTGAGTTTTGTTGATTTCATTCTACAAAACAGACAAAACTGTGTCTGGTAAACCATTGAGACCCTGATACCCTAACATTCTGATACCCCGACATCCTAACACCCTAATACCCCATTACTCTAATACCCTAATACCTTGAGCCTAAGTCATCCTGGTGTCCTGAACCTTTGACCTCTTGATTCTGCGACATCTTGACATCCTGACCTGGATCTCTGGCTGCTGAGTAATGGGCCTCTACTCTCCTGCTGTGGTTTGCGTTGCTCTTGAGAACATCCTTGCCAACCAGCTGTTGCAGTCTGAGAAGTGATGTTTTCTTCACATTGGAAGTCAATGTGATGAGAAACATCCATCATAGTTTCTCTCAAAGTGCTGCAGATCTGCACTCAGTGCCGTCTGTCTCCGCTTCAGCAGGTTGGAGGTTTCTCTACAGGGATATGTTTCAGATGTTCCAGTAGATCATCTGTAGTTGCTCATCTTGTTCTGGTTCTGAAGAGTCCTGAACATCCTGGTACTTTCTGCATTAGAGTTACCTTTCTTTCCTACAGCCATGGTATGAAAACAAGTCTGAGTTCTTGGGTTTTTTCAGTCTGGACTCATCTGGTTGTCAGCAGTACTGAATATGTTCCTTACCATTTGATGAACCTCCTCCATTGTTTGGTGGAACCTCCTCCATCGTTGGGTGGAACCTCCTCCATCGTTTGGTGGAACCTCCTCCATTGTTGGGTGGAACCTCCTCCATCGTTGGGTGGAACCTCCTCTATCATTTGGTGGAACCTCCTCCATTGTTGGGTGGAACCTCCTCTATCATTTGGTGGAACCTCCTCTATCATTTGGTGGAACCTCCTCCATTGTTGGGTGGAACCTCCTCCATCGTTGGGTGGAACCTCCTCTATCATTTGGTGGAACCTCCTCCATTGTTGGGTGGAACCTCCTCCATCGTTGGGTGGAACCTCGTCCATTGTTGGGTGGAACCTCCTCCATCGTTGGGTGGAACCTCCTCTATCATTTGGTGGAACCTCCTCTATCATTTGGTGGAACCTCCTCCATTGTTGGGTGGAACCTCCTCCATCGTTGGGTGGAACCTCGTCCATTGTTGGGTGGAACCTCCTTTATCGTTTGGTGGAACCTCCTCCATTGTTGGGTGGAACCTCCTCCATTGTTGGGTGGAACCTCCTCTATCGTTTGGTGGAACCTCCTCCATTGTTGGGTGGAACCTCCTCTATCGTTTGGTGGAACCTCCTCCATTGTTGGGTGGAACCTCCTCTATTGTTGGGTGGAACCTCCTCCATCGTTGGGTGGAACCTCCTCTATCATTTGGTGGAACCTCCTCCATTGTTGGGTGGAACCTCCTCTATTGTTGGGTGGAACCTCCTCTATTGTTGGGTGGAACCTCCTCCATTGTTGGGTGGAACCTCCTCCATCGTTGGGTGGAACCTCCTCTATCATTTGGTGGAACCTCCTCTATCATTTGGTGGAACCTCCTCCATTGTTGGGTGGAACCTCCTCTATTGTTGGGTGGAACCTCCTCTATCATTTGGTGGAACCTCCTCCATTGTTGGGTGGAACCTCCTCCATTGTTGGGTGGAACCTCCTCCATTGTTGGGTGGAACCTCCTCTATTGTTGGGTGGAACCTCCTCCATCGTTGGGTGGAACCTCCTCTATTGTTGGGTGGAACCTCCTCCATCGTTTGGTGGAACCTCCTCCATTGTTGGGTGGAACCTCCTCTATTGTTTGGTGGAACCTCCTCCATCGTTGGGTGGAACCTCCTCCATTGTTGGGTGGAACCTCCTCTATTGTTGGGTGGAACCTCCTCTATCATTTGATGAACCTCCTCCATCGTTTGGTGGAACCTCCTCCATTGTTGGGTGGAACCTCCTCCATTGTTGGGTGGAACCTCCTCTATCATTTGATGAACCTCCTCCATCGTTTGGTGGAACCTCCTCCATCGTTTGGTGGAACCTCCTCTATTGTTGGGTGGAACCTCCTCCATTGTTGGGTGGAACCTCCTCCATTGTTGGGTGGAACCTCCTCTATCATTTGGTGGAACCTCCTCCATTGTTGGGTGGAACCTCCTCCATTGTTGGGTGGAACCTCCTCCATTGTTGGGTGGAACCTCCTCTATCATTTGGTGGAACCTCCTCCATTGTTGGGTGGAACCTCCTCTATTGTTGGGTGGAACCTCCTCCATTGTTGGGTGGAACCTCCTCCATTGTTGGGTGGAACCTCCTCTATCATTTGGTGGAACCTCCTCCATTGTTGGGTGGAACCTCCTCCATCGTTTGGTGGAACCTCCTCCATTGTTGGGTGGAACCTCCTCTATTGTTGGGTGGAACCTCCTCCATCGTTGGGTGGAACCTCACTGTAACTGTAAGGTGACTTGGTCTTTTGGCTGCAGAACAGACCCACACCATCACCAGTCTGGACTCTGTGATGTTGTGGTACTACAGGTTATTTTTGATAAGTGAAGGATGTCATGATGTAATCTGTAATCTGAACTCAATTCATAGACTGGCTGAAAACCAAATTATTTAGTCATAACTGAAAGACAGTGAACAGCCTTGTTTCTGGCATTGAAGGTTGCGGTGCTTCAAGAACAGGACAGAGCAATGCTCAGCTTTAATAAAGCCAGGATGAAGTCTTTTGCC